AAGGTGGCTTCTTTGCGAAAGAATTAGCTTTTATCGAGTTGAATCTTTAAATTATTCTGAGTGGTTTAAATACGTCTATAGTTGTGTTCAGTCAAGTCTTTAGCGAAGATAATGATGTCATAGATGTAGATGAGACACTGTTGAGGGTTTAACCCTTGTAGGGTGAGGCTCATTGCTCTATGAAAAGTCCAAAGGGCTTATTTTCGTACTCATGGTGTTTGCCGTCGGCTGAAAATCAGGCATTTGGAGTAAAGTAAGCGGGGTTCTATATATGGGTCACGGCTCCCCAAATCTAGGCCACGGTCCATCCATCAACATCTTACCAATTTTGCACCTTTAGAAGGTCTTTTTAGGTCATTCTTCGTCTGAAGACGTTAGACCATGCCCCTTTTGTCAACAATACCAGAAGCTCTTGTTGAAGACCCTCTGGAATTGTCCTAACATGGGGGTGGAGCCTGTATTTATTTGAATTTCCCGCTTAAAGCTATTGCTTATTGAATTTTATCAAACGAGATGTCGCTAGAATACTGAAAAAACGTCGTTTTCTGTAAAAGCGTGTGTAGTGTACAGCTATTGTTTTTTGTCTATTGAATTTTTTCAATAGATGTCGCAAGAATGTCGAAACAAAATGGAGCGTGGACTGCTATGGCTATGCCAGTTTAAACTTGAATTTTCCCTCCAACATGAACTTTGGAAATAAAATTCTTTTATTGGTAAAATACCTGTACCGATTATTACTGTTTAGTTACAAATGCGTTAATTCCAACTATATATGTACAAGCGGCTTATACTTACTCTTAGAAAATGTAAGTAGAATTTTTTTTCTTTTCATGTTACCTGATGGATGACCGAACACACTAAACATTGTTCAATATTAATTTTTTCACATTTCTAATATTTTAATAAAATTAAACAGGTAGTATGTATATATGCAAATATGAGTGTATGTGTCTACGTATTGAAAATACAAAATTAACGTCAATTTCTTCTATGGACTTACACAAACAGGTATTATGTTCCTTAGCACGAAGGATGTGCTGTAATCAGCAGATAGTATNATTCGATTAGAATTTGAAACTGCTGAAGATGTAGCTGCTAAAACGTCGGCGTATTGTCTAATTATTCACGAAAGATTTGTAAATTACAATCCACTTACAAGTGTTGTGCGTATTTTATAAAAAAAAATGCCCGTTAAAATTAAATACAGATGCCCTAATTGTAAAGGTGAAACTGATGAACCTGATACGGGTTGTATTCCTTGCAATTTTACAGAGTATATCAAGACAAAAAGTGGACATTAACACATTTCAACCATCTGCTTTACTGAAAAAGATCCCTCAGCTGATAAGAATTAGTCATAAGTTTGTATCTGTATCATGTGACCTATTTTTATGTGTTTATTATTATTATTATTATTCTCTGTTTTCAATATCAAAAAAGTACAGTAGTAGATAGTAATGTTCAAAAACAGTTTAGTGATGCATGCTTGCACGGTTTTAAAAATATAATGGAAAAGTCTGTAATCGTTGATTTACAAGGTTTTAAAACAAACAATAATCAATTTGTGGCAAAAGAAGTATCCGTTTGCAATCTTTCTAACGAAGACATAAATGTATTTTTATTTAAACCGCCACATCAATATCAATATCTATCACCGAAATACGTACGTGAAAATCGTTGGTTGAAAAGGAACTTTCACGGATTATCGTGGGAAGATGGAATAATTGATTACAATCTGATAAGACATGTTCTGAAAATACAACTTCAGTTAAATCATGCAACAACCATTTATGTAAAGGGTCAAGAGAAGGTCAAATGGATTCAAGATATTCTGGATGATAAAAATATTATTATTATCAACTTAGAAGATCTGCAATGTCCGTCATTTGAAAACCTAAAAAATAACTACTTATATTCACCTTGCTATTTACATAATATTATACATAAAATACCAAAGTGTGCTAGAGAAAATGTAAAATTATTAAGATCTTTTTTAAAAAATCTAGTAAGATAATAATAATTGAAAAAGTAAAGTGGTAAACTATTGGTTTTTCTTTTCTTTTTTTGTGTACATGCAGACAGATACATACGTAAATGCATACATATTACTATCTGCTGATTACAGCACATCCTTCGTGCTAAGAAACATAATACCTGTTTGTGTAAGTCTATAGAAGAAATTGACGTTAATTTTTTATTTTCAATACGTAAACACATACACTCATATTTGCATATATACATACTACCTGTTTATGTAAAAGTCTGTAGTAGAAATTGACATGTCTTTTTTTATTTCCCTAAATATATAGATTAAATATTAATATAATTTAATAAATGTTCATATATCAATTATCTTTTTTCTATAAGTACATATATTTTAAGCTAATTAAAACAATTTTATACTTCAACAGATCTTTCTAATAAAATTATGAAATAAAACACCATGATAAGATTGAACTCTTTTATTTTATTAAAATATTAGATATGTGAAAAAATTAATATTGAACAATGTTTAGTGTGTTCGGTCATCCATCAGGTAACATGAAAAGAAAAAAAATTCTACTCATATTTTCTAAGAGTAAGTATAAACCGCTTGTACATATATAGTTGGAATTAACGCATTTGTAAGTAAACAGTAATATTGTCAGCAAAATGAATTATTTCTTTGAGCAAATAACCTGTTTGCTTTATGATTTAAAGTGCTGATAAAACGAGTTGAACCATCGGTACAGTTATTTTACCAATAAAAGAATTTTATTTCCAAAGTTCATGTTGGAGGGAAAATTCAAGTTTAAACTGGCATAGCCTTGTCCACGCTCCATTTTGTTTCGACATTCTTGCGACATCTATTGAAAAAAAATTCCATAGACAAAAAACAATAGCTGCAAATTACACACACTTTTACAGAAAACGACGTTTTCAGTATTCTAGCGACATCTCGTTTGATAAAATTCAATAAGCAATAGCTTTAAGCGGGAAATTCAAATAAATACAGGCTCCACCCCCATTTTAGGACAATTCCAGAGGGTCTTCAACAAGAGCTTCTGGTATTGTTGACAAAAGGGGCATGGTCTAACCTCTTAAGATGAAGAATGACCTAGAAAGACCTTCTAAAGATCCAAAATTGGTAAGATGTTGATGGATGGACCATGGCCCAGATTTGGGGAGCCGTGACCCATATATGGGAACCCGTCTGCCCCTCTACTTGACGGTTTACAATAAAACGAAAGGAATGTTACAAATATGATGAAATTTATAAAGGGATGTCAAAATACCATCCGCAGTATTGTGTCTCTGTGAGATATAATAAAATGGAAAAAATAGTTTTTATGCACAAGACGATTCAATCAAGATTCTCTTGAGGATTTCTTTGGGTCCATCCGCCAACAAAGTGGAAATGCTTTTAATCCGACGCCAATTCAATTTAGTCGAGCGTTTAAAATGTTATTTTGTTTAAATTATTTTAATTGTGTGAATGGTTGCAACTGAATTGACGATTTAGATGCTATTTCCAAAGTAGATAAACTCTTCGACGTTTTGAAGTCATACACTTTTAAAGCGCAGAAAACGATGAATAAACCCCTCGGAGGTGCTGAACATCAAATGACCTTCCTCCATGAGGTTACATTTTTTCAAGACCGTGACGGTTATTATAACGAAAGGAATGTTATAAATATGATGAAATTTATAAAGGGATGGCAAAATACCATCCGCAGTATTGTGTCTCTGTGGGATGTAATAAAATGGAAAAAATAGTTTTTATCCACAAGACGATTCAATCAAGATCCTCTTGAGAATTTCTTTTGGTCCATCCGCCAACAAAGTGGAAATGCATTTAATCCGACGCCAATTCAATTTAGTCAAGCGTTTAAAGAGTTATTTTGTTTAAATTATTTTAATGATGTGAATGGTTGCAACTGAATTGACGATTTAGATGCTATTTTCAAAATAGATAAATTCGACGTTTTGTCGTACACTTTTAAAGCACAGAAAACGATGAATAAACCCCTCGCAGGTGCTGAACATCAAATGACTTTCCTCCATGACATGTTACATTTTTTCAAGAACATGACGGTGTGGGAACACTCGGTATAGCAAGAAACGTTTATATTGTGTATCAATTAAGCGTCTGCATTTGTGCTGACTTAGTTAGGTTGCGACACACTGCGACTAACTAGGTCAAAGGTAGTTACATACACAAATGTAAAGTGCTGAAATGCTCTTTGCCGTATAAACCCATGTAAATATTTTTGTATAAATACCGTGTAAATATTCAAATAAATTAGTCTAACACCAGGCTCACTTTTATTCGGATGCTGAAATAGTGTCAACCCTCGGAAGCTGTGATATTGTGCCAATCATCTATGATGCAGAAATGTGTCCAACGATATTATAAAATCGGTTCTTCTCAGAACCACAACTTTTGATAGTCACACCTTACTACGACTAACCGGTGTGGCTACAGTGGTGACCCCGACTACGAACGTATGGTCAGTGATGAACTACGATTGTGAAAACAGCCGAAACCGTTATCTCAATTGCCGCCAACGAAGGAAGGAACGTCGTCGTCATCGTGCCCTCTTATACCAAGCCGCCCAACTGCAACTTTCAACCCCAAATCCGGCGTCTGGTGAACCTTCATAACAGGACGAAAATCACCAGCATCAACGTTTGCTACGTGAGTTGTTCGACGTATTAGAAAAAACATACTCACCCTTACTGGGCGTACCAACCGAACCTATTTAGCAATAACTTATCTGCTGTCACTCCTTTACCCCTATGGGATCCTTGCCATCTAAGGAAGAGATTGTTATTGCACAATCAGCCGCAGGAAATGCAACTGCCTCGCCCTTGGTCCGGAGCGACTGTCTCTTTTTCATCATAATCACGTTACAAATAATCAGCCTAGTTTGGACTGCTTACCGTGAATACCGGCGTCATCTTCATCAACACATAAACAAAAAGGTTGCCCAAGCCAGCCGCAACGTGGAAATTCAACCATGTCTCGCCCGCAAAACGCCCAACCTACCTCCTCCGTCGACCGTCTAGTTGTGAAGCTGCCACCTTTCGTACCACCCGACCCCGAACTATGGTTTTGTATGGTGGAACGAAGCTTTGAGGCCTCGGGAGTCACATCTGAATCAACAAGATTCGGCTATGTATTGGGCAATTTGGATCCGCGGTACGCAGCCGAAGTGCGTGACATTATCATAAACCCACCGGCGACTGAACCATATGCTACCATCAAGGAAGCACTCATTCGTCGATTGGGCACTTCGCAAGAATTAAGGACCAAACAATTACTGGGGCAGGAAGAAATTGGTGACAGAAAACCATCCAAATTTCTGCGTCACCTTCAAAACCTGGCTGGAAATTCTACTCCAGAGAATCTACTACGCACAATCTGGCCAGGTCGGCTTCCGCAAAATCTACAGACGGTCATAGCAACCATGAAGGACAAGCAGTTGGATGAAGTTGTCGAAATCGCCGACAATATCATGGAAGCGACCCAAACATAGTCCATGATAGCAGCTACGGCCACAGCTACTCCGCAGCACGATACCATCTAACAGCTAACCAATAGGGCACAAGCACTCCAGATGGATATACATCATATAAAACGACATATGGCGAGAGGTTCGAGGACAAGATTTCGATCTCATTCAAGAGGCATTTCTTCGCAAAGACAACAGTAACAACAGGAGCAATGATCATTGCTTCTACCACAGCAGATTCCAAGACAAGGCACGGAAATGCATTACTCCGTGCAGGAAGTCATCGGGAAACCAACAGGGAACCCACTGATGGCGACAAGTGAGGTCCGCACAGCGCAACGTCGCCTATTTGTATCGGACAGAGCCACAAATCAAAAATTCCTGGTCGACACCGGTGCTGATGTCTGCGTGTATCCCAAGTCACTAATACCTGGGCCACGTTATAAATCCACGTTCGTGCTACAAGCAGCAAACGGCACCAACATACCGACCTATGGTACTATTATTTTGTCGTTCAATTTAGGCCTACGAAGATGTTTCCCATGGCGTTTCATCATAGCCGACGTCACCAAACCAATTATTGGTGCAGATTTCCTTGCGCACTACCAACTGCTGATAGATTTAAGCAACCAACGACTCTTGGGTCGACTGACCACCTCACCACCTCTGGTAAATTAATCAACTGCTGCCAACCTTCCCTCACTTTCGTTACAGAAACGAAAACGACGACTTCACCATACCACGAGATACTTCAGGATTTTCCCTCATCAACTCGACCCAACGGCCAAATCACCTTTTCGAAACATGCAACAAGGCACTACATCAACACTACCCCCAGTCCAACAGTAGCATGCAAACCATGACGTTTGGCCCCGGACCGTTTCTCTGCAGCAAAAAGAGAATTTGAAACGTTGGTACAACTGGGTATCGCGCGTCCCTCCTCCAGCCCTTGGGTATCGCCACTACACATGGTCTCGAAAAAAGACGATGAATGGCGCCAATGCGGAGACTACCGTGCTCTCAACGCGAAAACAATCCCGGCCAGATATCCCGTACGAAATATTGACGACTTCACTGGAAAACAAGAAGATTTTCTCCACGATCGACTTAGTTCGAGCTTATAACCAAATTCCAGTCACAGAGGAAGACATCCCAAAGACAGCTATTACAACACCTTTTGGATTGTTCGAGTTTCCTCACATGAATTTTGGTTTACGTAACGCCAGCCAAACATTCCAACGTTTTATTGACGAAGTGTTACATGACCTCGACTTCTCTTTTGCTTATATTGACGATATACTGGTCGCATTAGAAAATGCTGAACAGCACAAACAGCATTTACGCACGTTATTTACTCGTCTACATTCATATGGAATACTGCCTAACCAAGCAAAATGCAACTTTGGTATAGAAGAAGTCTCTTTTCTAGGTTATTGTGTCTCGGCAAATGGAATACGCCTTTTACCCGACAGAGTAACAGCAATCTCCAGTTTCCCCAAACCTACTACCGCAAAACAATTGCAACGATTCCTGAATATGCTCAACTTCTACAGAAAGTTCCTGCCTAACGCTGCCCGCACTCATTCTGTTTTGAATGAACTTCTATTGGGGAAGATCAAAGGAAATGCATCCCTACAATGGAATCCCACAGCCGACGAGGCATTCAATTCAAGTAAAGAGCAGCTGGCGCAGACTACTCTCCTGCACCATCCACAATCAGATGCTACCTTACCTGGCATTTTTCTTTTCCAAACTATCGAACGCTGAAGTCAAATACAGCGCTTTCGACAGAGAACTTCTGGCGATTTATCGCACGATTAAGCATTTCCGCAATTTTCTCGAAGCCCGTGACTTCATTATATTTACCGATCACAAGCTGCTTACCTTTGCTGTCCGTCAGAACCCTAACAAATGCTCTCCAGCCACACCCCTAAGAATCACCACGGACCAAGGTAGATAGTTTGAGTCCCAGCTTTTCAATGGGCTTTCGCTTCTAACAAACTCAAAGCATATACACACAACGACATACCACCCCGCAGCTAATGGTATGGTTGAGCGACTACACCGACAGTTAAAAGCCGCCATAACTTGCCATCAGAACAGCAGCTGGACCAGGATCCTTCCACTGTTCTTCTGGGAATTTAAATCATAAAGCAAACAGGTTATTTGCTCAAAGAAACAATTCATTTTGCTGACAATATTACTGTTTACTTACAAATGGGTTAATTCCAACTATATATGTACAAGCGGTTTATACTTACTCTTAGAAAATATAAGTAGAATTTTTTTTCTTTTCATGTTACCTGATGGATGACCGAACACACTAAACATTGTTCAATATTAATTTTTTCACATATCTAATATTTTAATAAAATAAAAGAGTTCAATCTTATCATGGTGTTTTATTTCATAATTTTATTAGAAAGATCTGTTGAAGTATAAAATTGTTTTAATTAGCTTAAAATATATGTACTTATAGAAAGAAGATAATTGATATATGAACATTTATTAAATTATATTAATATTTAATCTATATATTTAGGGAAATAAAAAAAGACATGTCAATTTCTACTACAGACTTTTACATAAACAGGTAGTATGTATATATGCAAATATGAGTGTATGTGTTTACGTATTGAAAATAAAAAATTAACGTCAATTTCTTCTATAGACTTACACAAACAGGTATTATGTTTCTTAGCACGAAGGATGTGCTGTAATCAGCAGATAGTAATATGTATGCATTTACGTATGTATCTGTCTGCATGTACACAAAAAAAAAAAAAAAAAACCAATAGTTTACCACTTTACTTTTTCAATTATTATTATCTTACTAGATTTTTTAAAAAAGATTTTAATAATTTTACATTTTCTCTAGCACACTTTGGTATTTTATGTATAATATTATGTAAATAGCAAGGTGAATATAAGTAGTTATTTTTTAGGTTTTCAAATGACGGACATTGCAGATCTTCTAAGTTGATAATAATAATATTTTTATCATCCAAAATATCTTGAATCCATTTGACCTTCTCTTGACCCTTTACATAAATGGTTGTTGCATGATTTAACTGAAGTTGTATTTTCAGAACATGTCTTATCAGATTGTAATCAATTATTCCATCTTCCCACGATAATCCGTGAAAGTTCCTTTTCAACCAACGATTTTCACGTACGTATTTCGGTGATAGATATTGATATTGATGTGGCGGTTTAAATAAAAATACATTTATGTCTTCGTTCGAAAGATTGCAAACGGATACTTCTTTTGCCACAAATTGATTATTGTTTGTTTTAAAACCTTGTAAATCAACGATTACAGACTTTTCCATTATATTTTTAAAACCGTGCAAGCATGTATCACTAAACTGTTTTTGAACATTACTATCTACTACTGTACTTTTTTGATATTGAAAACAGAGAATAATAATAATAATAATAACATAAAAATAGGTCACATGATACTGATACGAATTTATGACTAATTCTTATCAGCTGAGGGACCTTTTTCAGTAAAATAGGTGGTTGAAATGTGTTTATGTCCACTTTTTGTCTTGATATACTCTGTAAAATTGCAAGGAATACAACCCGTATCAGGTTCATCAGTTTCACCTTTACATTTAGGGCACTTGTATTTAATTTTAACGGGCATTTTTTTTTTAAAATACGCACAACACTTGTAAGTGGATTGTAATTTACAAATCTTTCGTGAATAATTAGACAATACGCCGACGTTTTAGCAGCTACATCTTCAGCAGTTTCAAATTCTAATCGAATATCAACAGCACCGTTTTTAACCGTTTCACTTTGGTGTGAGCAATCAATTACCGCTAGCGGTGCACGTTTCTTAAACAAATCTGGTGTAAGCACGGGTTCGGCGCTGCTCTTATTCCAATAATACGACTGTTGAAATTTGCTATACATTTGGTATAAAATTGCAAATTGATTTTGCCGATAATTAACATTGATATTGTCATATGGATAAATTTCAGAGTTTAAATATAATTTGATAGACTTCAAACTGCAATGATCAAATTGCGAATTATCTGATTTCGGGTTATGTTTTCTGTCGATTTGAAAACCTACGATGATAAATCGTGGTTTTTCTAAATACGATGCTGATTTGACGGTCCACGTATGACGTGTTGTTTGTTGAAGTAATGGATATTCATGTAATTCCCAACTTCTGAATGTGATTGGAAGAGTGACATTTTTTTCAATATAATTCAATAATTTGATTTTTTCGTAATCGGAAACAGTTACGTGAGGCATTTTCCATACAATTTTATTTATTACAATTTTACCTTTCTCCGTCCCACTTTTATCATAAGTAGAATTGAGATCGGTATTTGATCGAATCAATACCAATTCTTGTCGCGTGTTGAGAATAATTTTTTTAAAGTCCTCAGCAAATCCTAATAGCATTCTCAGAGGTATGCATACTTCAAATTCTTTTGTTGTTGGATCGAGTATGACTGTGGCGTCATCTTCAAGTGGTAACCAACAGGCATTCTGTAAAGCGACCATTTCATTTCCATTATAGGAAACGTAGTTTTTCAGTGTAGTTGTTATACCAGGATTTTTCACACGATCAATTACTACTCCACCCAATTCGTATCTAATCTCTTCAAACAGAAAGGCAAATGCATTGTTAATTAACGTAACAGTTGTCGGTTTGTTTCCATCGGTTTTTATTAATTTTCCTTCCAAATGTAGAAAACTTTCGCTCGGTAACGTTAGAATATCTTGTTGTTGTATCGGAATTCTGATTTCATCGCTGTAATTAAATGTATTTGCTGCATACGGTTGATGAGAATGTAATTCGATATTTGTTATCGAATTATCGAAGTTAATTTTTTCATTAACTTGTAGTATATTCATCATTTTTCTTTTTTGTTACTTTTTCAATTTGAAACCGAGTGATATTAAAAATTTTTTGTTTTCTGATGTTAGTCTTTTAGACTCTTCTTTATGACTAATTTTGTTAATTGTAGCTGGTCCATATATATCTTCACTGGTTCTAT